AATGTAGGGGCCTGTCTAAGATCTTTGGGGAGGGTGTTCCAGAGTCGGGGGGCCACCACAGAGAAAGCCCTGTCTCGTGTCCCCACCAAACACGCTTGCGACGCAGGTGGGATCACGAGCAGGGCCTCTCCAGATGAACGAAGAGAGTGTGTGGGTTCGTAGATGGAGATGCGATCACGCAGGTAGGCTGGTCCCAAACCGTTCAGGGCTGTAGGATGTAGATTGGGCATTGCGGGCTCTGTGTGCCAAGTTTGGTCATTAGATGAGGGTTGCAGTGGTCTCAGAAAGTGAGTGATGGTACTGCAAGTCCCATCATCCATGGTCCATCCTTCAAATTGCAATAGGATGTGGAGTGGGGATTGCGGGCTCTGTGTGCCAAGTTTGGCCTGTATTGTACCACAGTGGCAGCTAATCAGAAAGCTGCCACATACACCTCCCATTCTCCACATACAAACACTCTCTTTATATATATATATATATATATATTATAGAGATATAGATTTATTTATATACTGTTTTTGTATACTGCCTTTCTCAGCCTGCAGGTGACTCAAGCAGTTTATAAGGCAACAATTCAATCCAACAAGCTCCCTCTATCAGCTTCAGCTCCTCATGTGGGGACATGAGAGAAGCCTCCCACAAGGATGGTAACACATCAAAACATCTAGGGCAACATCCTTGCAGACAGCCAATTCTCTCACACCAGAAACGACTTGCAGTTTCTTAAAGTCACTCCTGACATGACCAAAAAATAAAATAAATTCGATGTTCACAATACCACAAATATAATGAAAAACATTCATATATAATATAAAACCACAACAGAATCAATACAAACATAAATCATTAGCATCTCCTTTCCCCCCTGAGAAGGTCGCAGTAGGGTGTCAGAGGGGTCGCCAAAGATCAGCTGAAAACAGTGTTTTCTATTGGTCATGGAGATTCTGCGTAGGACGTTTGGCCCAGTTCTCCCAAGGGGAGGGCTGTTTCTGAGACTCCAGGGAGGGGAGGTCAGGTGTGCTTGGTGCATTGCAGCATGGTGCGCATGTGTAGGTGTGGGAGAGCATGTGAGGCTGGAGGGAAGCTTGCACCAGCGAGTCCCTTGAAGGCATGAGGGTTCTGTGTGGGAAGTTTGGCCCAATTCTATCGTTGGTGTAGTTCAGAATGCTCTTTGATTGTAGGTGAACTATGAACTCCCAAAGGTCTATTTCCCCCAAACTCCACCAGTATTCACATTTGGGCATATTGAGTATTCGTGCCAAGTTTGGTCCAGATCTATCATTTGAGTCCACAATGCTTTCTGGATGTAGGTGAATATCTACTTCCAAACAGTGCCATTGCTGTTGCCCGTTTTTGGTCAAAAGATATTTAGCCGCCTGCGCTCCTTCTGTTTTTATCAGTTTTATACTAATTTATGCAATGCTTTTGATACGAAATAAATAAAACATTCACACCTAGCTCCAGCAGGGAAGAGCTCCTTGCCCCACCCCAGCCATTCCACAGATATATAAACCCATTGTCCTAATTCCAACAGACCTCACTACCTCTGAGGATGCTTGCCATAGATGCAGGTGAAACGTCAGGAGAAATGCCTCTAGAACATGGCCCTATAGCCTGAAAAAACCCACAAGAACCTAAATAAATATAATTCCCAAACTCCAGTTCAATGCTCACCAAACCCCTCCAGTATTTTCTGTTGGTCATGGGAGTTCTGTGTGCCAAGATTGGTTCAATTCCATCATTGGTGGAACTCAGAATTCTCTTTGATTGTAGGTGAACTATAAATCCCAGCAACTACAATTCCCAATTCCTCCCCCAACCCCACCAGTCGTCTAATTTGGGTGTATCAGGTATTTGTGCCAAATTTGGTCCCGTGAATGAAAATACATCCTGCATATCAGATATTTACATTACTATTCACGACAGTAGTGAAGTTGCAGTTATGAAGTAGAATAATTTTACAGTTGGGGGTCACCTCAATATGAGGAGCTGTATTAAGGGGTCATGGCATAAGGAAGGTTGAGAATCACTTCTATAGGGAAAGGAGAAGACTCCTCCTCTTCTGATTTATTTTTCTAAGGATGTCTTCAAAGAGAAGCCCTTGTGTCTGCATTCCTTTCCAGACGTTGCTCTGCCTCAACCCTCCGCTTTTTGAGGTCCACCAGACGGTGCTGAGTCCCACGCAGCAGCACGTGGCGCTCATCGGCACCAAAGGCGTGATGGTGATGGAGCTGCCCAAGCGCTGGGGGAAGAACTCTGAGTTCGAGGGAGGGAAGGCCACGGTCAACTGCAGGTAGGAAGCCCATGCTCAGCTGCCCCTCAGTTCTCCCTCCGCCTGGACACTGCCTCACCCTTCCCGCCTCTCTTCTTCCAGCACCGTCCCCATTGCTGAGCGGTCTTTCACAAGCGTGGCGACTTTGACCCTGAAGCACGCGGCCTGGTACCCCAGTGAGACGCTGGAGCCCCACATTGTGCTCCTCACCTCCGACAACACGATTCGGTAACCGTCTGGCTATGTCTCGCTTGTTTTTAGGAGTCTAGTGTCTATATCAAGAGAAGTCATGGTGCCTCTCTATTGTGATTTGGGCAGACCTCTTTTCCTGGAATCACACAGTGTCCCATTGTGGGCACCACAGTTCGAAAGAGATATTGACAAAGTAATTCAGGGGTGACTAAAATGATCAAAGGTGTTGGAGACCATGAAAAATCCATATGAGTGTCTTAAAGAGTTGTGCCTGTTTAGCTTGTAGAAGAGAAGGTTGAGAGGAGATATGAGTACCATGTGTAAGTATTTGAAAGGGTGTCATAGGAGGAGGGAGAGGCTTCCTTTCTGCTGTCCTGGAAATGAGGACTCAGTGGAGCCATGAGTTCAAATCACAGGAAAGGAGTTTCCACCTGAAAATGAGAAATAATTTCCTGACTGTGAGAGAGGGCTGTTCAGCAGTGGAACTCTCTGCCTTGGAGTCTGGTGGACTACACTACCAGTATCAGCATGACTTTATTTGATATCAGAATGACTTTATCAACAGCCTCCTTTCATAGAATCATAGTTGCACTTTTTCTCTTCTTTTTTGCCCCACCCACAAAGAGGCAGTGACTATTATGTTGTAAAAGGAATTCCACTCAAGGCTTCACTTGGCTGGCAGTGAATGAATGACGGGTGTGATTATTATGCGAGATGTCCCGATCTGTAGCTTTCTGTGAAAGAAATTACCTCGCAAGCAAAGTTGGAAGACTTTCATCCAAAAGCATGCATTAGGGAACGCAACAAAGTTCCAACTGACAGTTTATTTCCCTCGCACCTCACCCTGGCCCCTCCCCTGCATTGCTCTCATTTCCCTCTCCCAGATTTCAAATATACACAGGACAGGTCTAAGGCATGGCCTAATTTCCTGGCTTCACACAAAACCAAGAAATAAGGTCATGACATGACGAACAAAATAAAGGCTGTCCCCCAAGTGACAAACTGAGAGACAACAGGAAGAGAGAGAAATCTCGAGACAACAGGAAGGGGGAGAAATTTATTCCTTGGAAGGCAAATTAACCCCTGAAAAGAGTTATTATCAGTACACAATCTGTATATTTATTTTCCCCCACTGTTTTTCCTTTTAGGATTTACACCCTGAGTTCTCCTCAAACTCCTGTGAAAGTCATTGCTCTCTCTGATGCCGACGAAGAGACATTGAGGCTTAGCAAAGGGTAAGGCTGACTCTGCGACAGACCCCGGCGTTCATGTCTTTACAAACTCTGTTCCGCTGGAACCGAATGTGTAGGCTTTCCCTCCTGATTGCGTTTGCCTTCCTTTTCTCAGGAGAGCGTATACGGCACTGATGGGCGAGACGGCCGTGGCAATGGATTTTGGCCCCTTGGCCGTGGTTCCCAGGTCCATCGCAGGCCAGTGGGAGAAAGAGGAGGCGCTGGCCTATCCCTTGTATATCTTGTACGAAAATGGGGAGACCTTCCTGACCTACGTCAATCTGCTCCACAGGTAAGATGACGCAGTTTCCCTTGCTCATGCTCTTCCTCTCCTCCCTCCCTTTCTTCCACTGGAAAATATTTGGTGAAACGTATATTATTATTATTATTATTATCATTATCATTATTATTATTATTATTAAGGTTGGGTGGCCATCCGTCGGGGATGATTTGATTGTGCTTTTTCTGCATGAAGGCAGAAGGGGGTTGGACTTAATTAACCTAGGAGTCTTTTCCAGCTACAGTGTTATGATTATGATTATTGAGACTGAATGGCTATCTTTTGGGTGTGCTTTGATTGCGCTTTTCCTACATTATGGCAGAAGGGGGCTGGATTTAATTGATCTAGGGATCTCTTCCAACTACAGTTTTATTATTGTTGTTGCTGTTGTTGTTATTGAAGCTGAGTGGCCATCTGTCGGGGGTGATTTAATTGTGCTTTTTCTGCATGAAGGCAGAAGGGGGTTGGACTTAATTAACCTAGGAGTCTTTTCCAACTACATTATTATGATTATGATTATTGAGACTGAATGACTATCTGTTGGGTGTGCTTTGATTGCGCTTTTCCTGCATTATGACAGAAGGGGGTTCGATTTAATTGACCTAGGGATCTCTTCCAACTACAGTTTTATTGTTGTTGTTACTGTTGTTGTTGTTATTGATGCTGAGTGGCCATCTGTTGGGGGTGCTTTGATTGCGCTTTTCCTGCATAATGGCAGAAGGAGGATGGACTGAATTGAGCCAGGGGTCAATAATTAGTATCACTATTATTATAATAGTAATAATGAGTATCACTATTATTATTGAGGCTGAAAGGCCATCTGTTGGAGTTGCTTTGATTGTGCTTTTCCTGCATGAAGGCAGAAGGGGGTTGGACTTAATTGACCGAGGGGTCTCTTCCAGCTATGTTGTTGTTGTTGTTGTTGTTGTTGTTGCTTTGATTGTGTTTTTCCTGCATGAAGGCAGAAGGGGGGGGGGGGTTGGATTGAATTACCCAGGCATCTCTTTGAACTATGTTATTGTTATTATTATTGTTATTGTTGTTATTTTATTGAGCTGGATGGTCATCTGTTGGGGGGCTTTGATTGTGCTTTTCGATGATTCTAATGTACCTTCATGAAAGACAGCCTGTCAAAGGCAATCATATGGAGGCTTGTTGCTGTCATACCAGAGTTGGAACTCTGGCAGTACTGTTATGTAGAGGCATTTCAACATGCATGGGCCAACTTGGTCCCCCCATTCTAAGTGTTATGGACTTCATAGAGGGCCAAAGTTGGCCCATGCCTGGCTAAACTCAGTGGGAAGGAAGGGCTTGCAATTTGGAGCCAAAGTGGGAGTTTGCAGCGCTAATCAGCTCTTCTGCGCCCTGCATTGGGTTGTTATTATTTCAGTGCTGGGACTCTTGGCCGGCTGCTGGGCCCACTACCTATGCACCCTGCGGCTGAAGACAACTATGGGTACGACGCGTGCGCTGTGCTCTGCCTCCCTTGTGTCCCCAACATCCTGGTGATCGCCACGGAGTCAGGAATGCTGTATCACTGCGTGGTGCTGGAGGGAGACGACGATGACGAGCAGGCGGTAGGTTTGTATTCAGCTTTGTGTCAGAAGAAAGGTTTCTACAAGACCTGAAAATTGAACCATTGGCTCCTGATCAAAAGGGTTAGAATCCTTGCATAATTTCCCACTTAAGAAGGGCAAAATCTACATTGAGAAGAGAAAGAGAATGACAAATTGGAGAGTAAAAGATATGCATGTCCAATAGGTTAGTTTTCATGCTGGAGGAGACCTACTTCAACCTTTATATCTTTACCTGCCTGCTTTTATAATAACTAGCCATCCCCTGCCACGCGTTGCTGTTGCCCACATGGGGGTTCTGTGTGGGAGGTTTGGCCCAATTCTATCGTTGGTGGGGTTCAGAATGCTCTTTGACTGAAGGTGAACTATAAATCTCAGCAACTACAACTCCCAAATGTCAAGATTCTATTTCCCCCAAACTCCAACAGTGTTCACATTTGGGTACATTGAGTATTCTTGTAGAGTTTGGTCCAGATCCATCATTGTTTGAGTCCACAGTCATCTTTGGATGTAGGTGAACTACAATTCCGAAACCAAAGGACACTGCCCACCAAACCCTTGCAATATTTTCTGTTGGTCATGGGAGAATTGTGTGCCACATTTGGTTCAATTCCATCATTGGTGGAGCTCAGAATTCTGTTTGATTGTAGGTGAACTATAAATCCCAGCAACTACAACTCCCAAATGACAAAATCAATTTTTTTGAGTGAAGGACATACATTGGGTTGTTAGGTGTCTTGTGTCCAAATTTGGTGTCAATTCGTCCAGTGGTTTTTGAGTTCTGTTAATCCCACAAATGAATATTGCATTTTTATTTATATAGATAATAATAAACAACAATTATCAGTATTACTATTATTGTTATTGAGTGGCCGAAGGCTTTCATGGCCAAAATCACTGGGTAGCTGTGAGTTTTCCGGGCTGTATGGCCATGTTCCAGAAGCATTCTCTCCTGACGTTTTGCCCGCATCTATGCCAGGCATCACATTAATCACATATAATAATAATAATAATAATAATAATAATAATAATAATAATAATAATAGTTTTGTTTGATTGATGTGAACTTGGCTTGGACTTTTAGGTGAATATGGTGATAGTAATAATGATAATAATTGGGTTGCTGTGAGTTTTCTGGGCTGCCTGTCCATGTTCCAGAAGCATTCTCTTCTGACGTTTCGCCCACATCTATGGCAGGCATCTTCAGAGGTTGTGAGGTCTGTTGGAAACAAGGAAGTGATAGAGTAACTTGAATGCGAGGGCCTCTTCAGTGGAGAGATATTAATGACAGGCTTTATTCTCATGCTCCCCACAGTCTATCAAATCCTGGGACTCACGGCCGGATCACATCCTGTCCCTGTATGTGTTCGAATGTGTGGAGCTAGAACTTGCGCTGAGACTGGCCTCGCGAGAAGGCGAGCAGCCACTGGAGTCGGACTTCTCTTGTCCCATCAAGCTGCACCGAGGTAGGAGACCAGCCACAGACCCCACCCCATTGTTCTCCTTAAAGATGCTATGACATTGAATTTGAGCATTCCTTATTTATTTTACTTGCTTTTTCCATATTACAGTGTTCCCTCACTACTTTACAGTTGCTTTTCATGGACTCGCTGTTTTGCGGGTTTTTGCCTCCTGGCAACAATGGAGTGTGGAAGGGGGTTTCACTCTCCCCCTCAAAAGAGAGGCAGCCAATCACAGCCTTATAACCCCTTCCTAATAAAATTAACTAGGTATTTTGAATTCCAAAAGTGTGAATCATGCACTGAAAGGGTTAAATGGAAACAATGACTCAGCAAAAGCTATAGTTCAATATAAGCACACTGCCTGTAGCTCAATGCTAGTTGCCCTCAATTTGAAGAAAGCTCCTTCTGTCAGCTCCAGCTCCCCATGCGGGGACATGAGAGAAGCCTCCCACAAGGATGGTAAAACATCAAAACATCCGGGCAGCGTCCCCTGGGCAACGTTTTTGCAGGCGGCCAATTCTCTCACACCAGAAGTGACTTGCAGTTTCTCAAGTCGCTCCTGACACACACACAAAATACATATATGCAGGTATTCCAAAATCCAAAATACAATACACTTCGGTTAAGACTGCCCAACTGTACCGCATGACACTTTCTTCATAGGAGGAGAAATTGATTGGCGGAATTTGGGAGTTGTAGTTCAGAAACATCTTTCCGGTGGTCTTCTGGAGCTTCTTCCACTTGGGGCTTATCACTCTGTATAGGGAAATGGGGCTTATTCTAAATTTTAGAGTAAAACAAACAAAATGACAACATTTGGGAAAGATTTGTTGATTCTGGCTTATTTCTCATTATTAGTATTCTGTTTCATTGTTTTGTATGTGCAAGCAACAATCTCCTATGGGGCTGAGTGATGAGTGCAGCCACAAATGCTGCATCACATTGCTCAGCCAATCAGAGGCCTGGTTCTGCCCATTCTCCTCCCTTCTTGTGGCTCACGCTGCTGTAGGTGGGATTTTTTTTTAATGTTATTGATTATAATTTTTAAAAATTTCCAAAAAGTCAGTTAATGAGCGAAATGTCATGGAATTTGGCAGGCTTGCAGCCGTAAATATTTCCCACAAGTATGCCAAGTGTCATCCCGATAGCCGTAAAAAAAAGAAGGAAATACGAGCCTGGCAATGCCCTCATTGGCACAAAAGGACCTCTAGACTGGACTACTGTAATGCTCTCTATGTGGGGCTACCCTTGAAGACGACCAGGAAACTACAATTTGTCCAACGCTCAGCAACCAGATTAATAACTGGGGCTAGTTATAGGGAGCGCTCGACTCCCATGTTTAAGGAGCTCTACTGGCTGCCATTTATTTTCAGGTCCCAATTCAAGGTACAGGTCATCACCTATAAAGCCCTAAACTGTTTGGGACCCACCTACCTTTGTGACCGCATCTCTCCCCATGTACCAACCTGGGCTCTTCGATCTTCGGGGGAGGTCCTCCTGTCACCTTTACCAAACTCACAAGCCTGTCTTGTGGGTACAAGGGAGAGAGCCTTCTCCTCAGTGGCTCCCCGACTTTAGAACTCTTTACCTGGAGAGATTAGGAAAGCCCCTTCTCTAGAAACATTTAAAAAGAACCTTAAAACCTGGCTCTTCCACTGCGCCTTTGGTGAGTAGGTGCACACCATGACATTTTGCACCCCTCAACGTTTTCCTGCTACTGGAGTTCGCGCCCCCCAAATGGGAAGTCCAACCTCATAAATCTATGTGTTTTATGAGTTCCCCGTAAATGTCTTGCTCCTATTTTATCTCATCACAGTTTTTAAAATTGTTTTATCCTGTACATGTGGCCCGCCCACTGTTATCGTTATTGTGATAGTGTTTATTAGAATGTTATTTTATGACTTGTTTTTCCTTATTATTATTAATGTATTCTGATGATGTTGTTGTTTGTTTTGATTTTATTGCTGTATTGATATTTGATTTTATTGCTGTATTGATATTTGATTTTATTGCTGTATGTTTTGATCTTACTGCTGTAATATGTTGTCCGGGTAATATGTTGCTCCGAGTCCCCACCAGGGAGATGGTGACGGGGTATAAATAAAGTTTATTATTATTATTATCTTCCTGGAACGAAAATGGAACTCAGGACTGAATCTCCTGGAATCTTCCCGAAAACAACAGATTTCTGCTGTTTCACACACCCCTAACTGAGAAGCTAAACTTTACTCATTCGCTCTAACCCACGAACACACTTGTTTTCCAGATCCCAAATGTCCCTCTCGGTATCACTGCACGCATGATGCTGGGGTGCATAGCGTCGGCCTTCCCTGGATCAACAAGCTGCACAAATTCCTTGGCTCAGGTGAGGTCGGGAGTTTTATTTCTCCGCCCGTTTCCTTTCTGGGTTTAATGCTGCTGTGTGCCATCGGTCCGTCTGATTGGGATTGCTGTCATTTTTTTCTAGACGAGGAAGACAAAGATAGTTTGCAGGAACTTGGAGCAGAAGAGAAATGCTTTGTGGAGCACATTCTTTGCACCAAGCCTCTGCCATGCAGGTGAGAGAGAGAAAGATGGAGGGAGCAAGGCATGTTCCTATCCTTTGACAAGGATTGCTGGGTCACATATGACTGGGCAGATGCCATAGCGTGCTGCAGAAAGATTGAAAACAGAATGGGATAGAGTTTCACAAGAATCTCTTAATGTTCTGAAAATGCTGCTTGGATGTCTTAGCTGTTTTAACTCTGGAAATGGTAAACACGTTCTCCAATTGCGCCTGCTGCTGCTTCCCAGGTGGCATTATGTTTTTAGGTTTTAAATGCATCATGGTGTCATTGTTTTTAGTGTTTATTTTTGCTTGATGTTTATTGTTTGCTTTATGAGTTTTATTGCTGTATTGTTATGTTGTTGTTTTGTCGGCGGCCTTGGCCTTTGTAAGCCGCATCGAGTCCTTCAGGAGATGTTAGCGGGGTATAAATAAAGTTAATAATAATAATAATAAATAAATAATAATAATTCCCCATCATGGTCAACTGTGAATTGCACATATGGCTATGTATCTATTATTAATACAGGGTGAGGCAGCATAACTTCCTTTTTTAAAAACGCATGCCATTTAGTCGGTTGAAGACATAGCAGAGCGCTAGTGGTCTCATTTGACAGGCGGGAGTATAAAGTTTTGTCCTGACACAGTTCAGTCGCCATCATACGTTGGAACAGTGAGGAGCGTGCTTTTGCCGTTGAGGCCTACTTTTTGAGCGGATTTGGAGTGGCCGGCCCGCTCTCTAGATTTGGCCCCTTGTGATTTTTTTCTATGGGGTTTTTTAAAACCCTGTGTTTATGTGAACTGTCCAAGGACCCTACAAGATTTGAAGACCAACATCCAGGAAGAAATTGCCAACATAACGCCTGCTATGCTGGCAAGAGTCATGACAAACGCCAGAAATCGATTTACTCAGTGTATGGAGAATGGGGGATGTCACCTACCTAATTTGATCTTCAAAACTACGTAAATCAAAACTTTAGGTATGCACCTACATTATAAAAAAAATAAAAATTTCTGATTCATACAATGGGTTTTATTCAGTTTTGAAAAAAGGAAATTATGCTGCCTCACCCTCTATTAGAATGTATGATTATTATGATTATGTTTATTTATACCCTGCTTTTTATCTCCACAAGGGAGACTCAAAGCAGCTATGTATGTTCTGTTCTGCAGCTTTCTGGCCTCACGAAATTGTCTCACGAACAGAGTGGGAAGGCTTTATTTCTAAAAGCATACAGTGTGGTACTAAAAAAAATTCCAACTGGCAGTTTCTTTCCCTCACACTTCTTATCCCTCACCCTGAGCCCTCCCCTTCATTGCTCCCGTTTCCATGGAGACCCTTTCCCTTGTTTCAAGTATGTGCAGGGCACTTTTTTTGTTTTTTGTTTATGAGTTTTATTTTAATAGTTTATTGTTGTTGTTATTGCTTGTATTGATGTATTGGGGGCTCGGCCTCATGTAAGCCGCACCGAGTCCCTTGGGGAGATGGTAGCGGGGTACAAATAAAGTATTATTATTATTATTATTGGGTTGTTGTAGGTTTTTCCGGGCTATATGGCCATGTTCTGGAGGCAATTTTTCTACTGATGTTTCGCCTGCATCTATGGTAAGCATCCTTAGAGGTAGTGAGGTCTGTTGGAAGTAGGAAAAATGGGTTTATATATCTGTGGAATAACCAGGGTGAGGCAAAGGACCCCTGTCTGCTGGGGCTAGCTGTGAATGTTTCAGCTGATCACCTTGATTCAATGACCTGGAAGCGCCTGGGGGGAATCTCTTGTTGAGAGTGATTTTATGTGCTTGTTTGTTTCCCCTCTGTTGTTTTGCTGTTGTAATTTTTGAGTTTTTTAATACTGGTAGCCAGATTTTGTTCATCTTCATGGTTTCCTCCTTTCTGTTGAAATTGTCCACATGCTTGTGGATTTCAATGGCTTCTCTGTGACATGGTGGTTGAGAGTGGTCCAGCACTTCTGTGTTCTTCTTCTTCTTCTTATTATTATTATTATGGCCTACTTTCCTAGTTCCACACAAAACCAGGAAAGAAGGTCATGACGTATCTCCCTACCCCCAAAAACTACAAACAGTAAAATTGCAAACACAACACATTAACAACATGAACGGAAATCCAAGTCATTATACATATACTTTGTACACAGTTTATCTGGGTATTTTTGAAGGAATGCCATCCGCAACCGTGGAGCACTAACATGTTGGCTAGCCACCCACTCTGGTTGGTCAAAATGATGTGTAGAGTCTAGAATTTCTTTCTCCTCAAAGTGGTTTTGCCCATCCACTAGGATAGGATCAGGGATCGATACTTCCTTCTGCCATTGCCGATCCTTGCAAGCTGGTTTGATAAGACTGCAATGAAAGACTGGATGTATTCATTTTAGGCCGTGAGAGAGTTGGAGTCGTACTGTGACTGGGTTAATGATCTCTATTATGGGGAAAGGCCCAACGAATCTCGGGGCCAATTTTTTAGATGGCTGTACGATTTTTAGAAATTTGGTGGATAAGTACACCCAATCCCGTATCCGGAAATGAGGTTGCTTAGCCCTTTTCCTGCCCGCAAACCATTTATACCCCTCTGTAGCAGCTTCTAGCGATTGGCGAATTATTGGCCAAGCTGTTACTAATTTATCAGCCCAGTCTATTATTAATATTAGAATGTATTACTTTTACTATTATCTATATAAATACAAATGTAATGTTTGTTTGTGGGAGTAACACAACCCAAAAACCACTGGATTAATTGACACCAAATTTGGACACAATACACCTATCAGGCCAGCAAGTGACCATCACTCATAACAATACTAAAAAACACTGCAGAAGGGACTTAAAAAAGCAAAAAAAATTAAAAAAAAACACATTACAATGCATGCACAAAACCACACACATACATACACACACACCTAGATACACACACAAAACACATATACACAGCCTGGGCCACAGCAAAATGTGGCAGGGGATGGCTAGTTGTTGTTGTTGTTATTATTATTATTATTATTATTATTATTATTATTATTATTATGTTTTACCCTGCTTTTTCTCTCCACAAAGGAGACTCAAAGCAACTATGTATCTATCATTAGGATTATAATGTGTTGTTGTTTATATCCCATTATGTATTCGTATTAGAACGTGTTGTTGCTGTTGCTTATTCATACCCTGCTTTTTCTCTCCACAAAGGAGACTCAAAGCAGCTGTGCATCTATTAGTATTATAATATATTATTATTATTGTTTATATCCCACTTTTTCTCTCCATGAAGGAGACTCAAAGCGACAATGTATCTATTATTCGTATTAGAATGTGTTGGCGGTTGGTGGCCGCATGGTGGACGACGTGTCCCTGATCGTTCCGCTCGGGGCAGCCAGGTTTTTGGTGAGTCTAGGGGTGTCAAAACACCCTCCTCCTTAAGACGGATTGAGGTCTTGGAGGTTAAGGACCACCGCACTCGGCCGACAGTGTCCAAGAGGTGACCCCCTCAAGGGGACATCCAGGGGCGCCCGGCAACGAGACACGGTTGGAGACTCACACCGCGGCGGAGGACATTTTGGAACCTCCTTAGTTCCACCGGCCAGCAGCACAAATACGAGAAGAAAGAAAGATCACACCGAACTAAATTCAAACCGCAAGCAAGAACGACTGGATCGCAACAGCTGATGACCAGAGAAATCTAACAACTTTTGGGATCGCAGGACAGGTTAAGTACTTTATAATTGAGAACGTGCGGATGGGAACGGCGGAAGGAGGGGAAGGAATCTGACAAAGCGGGTGTTTAAGTTAAGTCAATGCGACAAGAGCACTAATAGAACTTCGGAACACCGGCACAATAGTGCAGATACCCCTCTCCCTTCTCTATCAGCCTAACGTAAAAGTGAGGAGGAACCCAGCCACCAAACAATAACCAAATACAAACGCAGTTGGGTAGAGCAGTCTAGGAGCTCCCTCCCGAAAAAGGGGACGGCATAGCCGGGTGGAAGGGTAACTTCGGCCGCCTTGGAGGAGACGCCCGCTGGGACCACTAAAACCCAAGGCATAGCGGGCTGCGTTTGGAATAAAACTGGTGTACAAAACTGGGGGAGAAGGAAACAAGAACGAAGAGAACCGAGAACGAGGAAGAGGAAAGGAGAGAGGGTAAAAGGAGTTAGAAAGAAGACTGGGTGCAAGAAGACTTTTGTTTAGAAACAAAGAGAAACACCCCAAGAGAAAGGAAGAGAGAGAAGGAGAGAAACAGAAAGAAATAGAGACAAACCCGGCAAAGAGAATTAGAAGGGGAAATATTTTTGTTTATGACCCCTTAGAGTCGGGAAATACCCCTCCCTCTAAGCCCAAACCCCTAAGCAAACAAGGAGGAGAAAAGACATAAAAAAGCACCGACCCTGGAAAAGCTCTACATTGTTTACAAATAAAGAGAGCCAGGGGAGGAGACGACCTCGAGGCACGAGACAGGCGACGAGGGAGGCGTGGGAGGAAAGAGGAGAAGTGGGGCGAAGGTAGACGGAAAGATAAAACAAAGGGGCGGAGTCTTACATCGCGAGAGCCTGCGAGAAGAAGTGAGAGTGAGCAGATAACGCGAGATAGGGAGAAGAGAAGACAAGCGAAAAGAACGGAAAAAGGGACGCCACCCTCAGGCGAGAAGGGCAATTGACGAAGTAATAAAGAAAAGGTAAGAAGGCTAAAGGGCGGAATCAAGGCAGTCTTAAAGGGAAAGTGAGACAGCAACATAAGAAAGTAGATAGGGAAATAGGAAACAAGAAAACAGAATACTGAAAGAGACAAAAAGAAACACGAGCAATAAAAGGAGAAAAAGGAGAAAAGCAAAGTAAAATAAAATAAAACAAAACTAAAGCGAATACAGAATAAAATAAAAGAAGGACCCAAAGAAGGACCCAAAACAGATAGGAATCCCAGGGGGGACAAATACCAAATAAATAATTAAGGAACTGAAAACAAAGAAAAATCATAGCACCACAGAGAAATAAAAACCAAAAGGGGACAGATTAG